AAGGGTCGGGACTGGAGACCGCGCGCGGGCTGCTGTGGCCCGAGCTCGCCTCCTCCCCACCCCCACCCGGGGAGCCTCTCTGGCCCCCCAGCCGCGATGGGCGAGAGGAGGGGAGGGTCCGGGGCGCCACCGGTCCCGCCTGGCGGAACGCGCGGTGAGTTAATTATAGGAAGGGGGAGGGTCCAAGGGAGGCTCCTGGACTGTAGGAAATTCACCTCCTCCAGCCTCCAGGGCTCTCCCCGCCGGGAAGTCTCCCCGCAGAGGAGCCCTGAAACCTCCGGGTCTTAAGGACGCGGCCATCTCCCCTCCAGACACCAGTCGCCTCCTGCTTTTTGGGAGGGGGTGTCTTCCCCTTTAAGCTCTTGTTGATGTCTCACTCGTTTATCTTAGTTTTGAAGGATACGGTGTCCCTTCCTTGACTCACCCGGATGCTTCCGTTTATCACTAGAGTACACAGGCCTCCGGGTCTCTTCCTCACACCAGCATTAAGTTATCGAATGATTTCTGCCCACTGTGGCCTGGAGCTTCCCGGGAGGCGATGACACCAAGCGGAAAGTTTGCTGGAATCCTGGCCCAGGACCTCCTCCGGGGTAGACACCTGTGGGTGCTCTCCAGAGAGCAGAGGAGGAAAAGAAAACAGCTCCAACTTCCACTGGCCAGTCTCCGACACCCCTTCCCAAAAACAGTCCATGAGAGAGATGTGATGGAGCACGAATTTTGTTGTAATCGTCAAGACTTCAACTGGAAAAGACTTGAAGAGGCCAGTCTAAAATAAAACGTGGAGAAGCTAGTGTTTGTTTTGCTATGAGATGCTTCCATAAGTCATAATCCCTGTTCTTTAAAAAAAAAAAAGTGTGATTTTAGAGAGTTTTCTATAACTTTGATTCACTACTTATCCCTAAAGGGTAAAAGTAATGATTGTGTCGTTAACTTACCTATTGAAAGATTGATGCTCAATGATGTTTTATCTGTTAAGTCTTCACAGAATCATACATCCAGGACATCTACATATACAAATGAGAAACCAGGTTACTAAATGACTCCACTTAGTAACAAAGGGTATTAGGCTAATTAGTTAGTTAGTAGTTAGAATTAGAATTAGACCCCAGCACTGAAGTGTCTCTAAATTACTTTTGTCCTTCAATTAAAGCCTGTGGCATTTTTGTAACCTGTAATTGGCTTGTTATCCAAGAGTAATTTGGTGAACCTTGCACCTGGTTTTCTTATTCAATTAAAAAAAAGTCACCCTAAGCATTCCATAAATTTAAAAATGTTCAATTTACACTGACAAGTAAAAGACTAGGTGAGTATACATCATGAGACCTGGGTTCTAGGCCCAGCTGTCTGACCTTGACAAGTCATTCAAACTCTGTTTTGGTTTCTCCCCTATATTTCAGCTCTAAAATCCTCTGATTTTTAAGCAACACACAAGTTATGTATTTGGCCAGGACATTACAGTATTCCTCTTGTGTTAATTTTACATTTAAACTTTGTTATCACCTAACTCCTGGCACAGCAAGCAATTCATGCGACTTTTAGGAAAGCGGTGGCTTCAGACATTTTTGGCCACGACCACAAAGAGAAATCTTACATCATGACCCAGTAAAAACTGCATGATTCAGTCCTTACCTGTACTGCAACAGCAACCCTGATATTTTCTTGCTGTTCATTTTCTTTTTTCTGAATACAGGTCACGACCCACTTAATTAATTTCGCAGCCCAATGAGTCATGACCCTCACTCTGACAAAGATTGATTTAAGAGCATTACAATAAAGTATATATTTCTTTGATTCTAAATAAGACGAATCCTAATTAATAGGGTTCTCCCAATATACTCTAAGACAGCATTTCCCAAAGTATCCCCTGGAATGTTACATGTTTTACTAGGAAAAAAAAATTCCCTGGCAGTCAACTGAAGTTTGTGAAATACTCAGATAAACAAGATAACAATGAATCTTTTTCTTCCAGACTTTACAGGGACTTTAATAACACCAACAAATTGTAAGTCTTCACTGGGGAGATAGAGTACAGTTTGGTCCCCATACTTAACAAGACTATGGAATGTTTTCTCTCATACTTTATCCTCTGTGGAACACACTTGTGCAAATGTCATTACAAAGCCCAATTATTTTTAAAAATGAGCTTTGAGTTAGATCGGTTGGATTCACATGCAGATTCAGTGTCAGTTTTCTGAACCCTATAGCTGTTTAATAATACTGCTTTTGCAAAATGTTCATGAAAATGAACATGGAGCCCGTGGGTTCGTGACCCACCTGGGCAACTTGACGAGACCTCATCTCTACAATAAATCAAAAAATGAGCCAGGTGTGGTAGCGCGCGCCTGTAGTTCCAGCTACTCGGAAGGCTGAGGCAGAAGGATCGCCGGAGCCCAGCAGGTCGAGAGGCTGCGGTGGCCAGGAGTGGCCACTGCCACTGCACTCCAGTCTGGGTGACAGAGTGAGACTCCAACTCAAAAAAAAAAAAAGAAATGAACATGATCTTCCATGTAAACGGCCTAGCACATTGTCTAAAACATAGGAAGGGCTCAAGTAAGTTTTTTAGATGTAACTGATGGCATATGTACAGATGGCTCACTACTAATGAAATATGGCAAGTTTTAAAGAAAGTAGGAAAATGTAAACAGCTAAAACGTGATTGGTCTTTAATTTAGTCTATAATATTAGGAATCAAAGGCAGGGATATTGAGTTTCTTTCACAAACTGACCCCTATTAGCCCTACCTGGAGTCAAATCCCCTCTCCTCCATTTTTCTTTGGGTCCAGCTACAGTGTGGTTTCCCACACATACCTATGTCTCATTCTCTCTCACACTGATTTTTTAGTCTGTAACACGCTTCCCCTTCCTGTCCACATGATAAAAAGCATCACATTACAGGAGATTCTAATGGATGCTAAAATAAGAAACCAATGCTTGTATGTTTCCTTTCAAAATATGTTTTAAGTATATAAATAATTTCAAAGGTAATCACATATATGTAGTGTCCCCAATTGTGAATAATCTCCTTTAAGACAAGTTTCATGAAGTCAGTTCACGTATGCACATTTTAGCTTGTGCATCTTCATGTTGTGTAATAATTTGACGACATTTTGATGCCCAATGTTTATCATGCAGTAAACAGATAAGTAAAATTCTTGTCATTTCTGGCAACGATGAATTCATTCATGAACTCATTTTTTAGAGTTTTCATGTTGTTGTTTACCTTATCTACACTTTTAATATCTCTAACAACCTCTTTTCAATATTCATAAGATACATTGTAGTTTTTAATTTCTTCCCATGGTCAAATATATTTGCGAATTCTGCACTTAATTTTGTCCAAAGTTTTAAGTATAAACTTTTATTGCATCATAAGTGGCTAGATTTATACCCGCCTCCCTCCCTAAATTTCAGGTTCCTTAAAGGAACTTGACTTCTCTTTTATTCGCTTCCTATTGCAATTTCCAACATGTGGCATTTCAGAGTACTTAAGCTACTACAGCTTGATCATGTTCAGGCAAAATCGTGTCCTTTTTTCCTCTGCCCCTCTTGCCTGCTGGGGAACATTATTCCGGGTCCCGGGATCCTTGACACCTAGAACGAGCATAGAACTGTTCAAGTAGGTACATGGGACCCACCAGACTAGCACGTGAAAGCTGGGCCTGTTGTCCATCTTTCCCACCCCTGCCTCCACAACCTTCTAGCTACAGAACAAGCAAAACGATTAGATGGAGCTGATGGTGGCATGCATCCAGTTATTTTGTTACTCATTGAGTACAAGAGTTATCCTCCATTCTTCTTCTCACACAGCACCCTCCCAATTTATATAATACTGATTTTTTTTTTCAATTATGGGTCACAGAATCAAGTATGTTGACATTACAACTAATTTTTTTTAACCAAGTCAATAGGTTGGTCAATAGTTAGGATGCCAACTTCCATACTCTTAGAATACAGTTCGGCATATAGCAGGCACTAAAAGAATTTGCTGAATGAATGGAGTGAACATTTACTGTCTCTACTGAATTGAATGAAATGATGCAGGTGTTTTGTTTGTTTGTTTTTATCCTACTGTCAGTGAATACACTATTTCCAACTTGGGTCTTTTTCAGAGAAGTTTCAAAAGTTTTATCGAAAGATTTTTTTAAATTAAACAGGGAAATTTGAAATTAAACTGGAAAATGTATGACCACAAGTATCAAGAAATTAGAAATGGAAAAGCCCTGTTCGATCATCCAGTTCATGTTTTGGCTAGTGGTTGAGGCAGTGTTGTTTCTGCAATCTTTTCCTTCTGAGGAAAACTAGTATCTTGCAAGGATAAATTTGGATGTCAGAGATTCTTTAGTCATTTGCTTTTAGAAGAATAATTCCACAGTGAGACAAAACCTTGAGGGAAAAATTATCCCTCATGTTCCCTGAGTTCCCTTTTTTTTCTTGACTGGGATTATTCATTGCACACTTAACCATGGTTAACAACATAAATACTCTCTTTTCTTTCCATGATAAAGTTTGGTTTAACAATTAATATATTTAGCTGTTCATATGAAACTAACAGCAATAGATATTGCTGTCTACCTTCCTATGTTTTTAATAGTCTTTCTCTGTTTCTTCAAGCCTTTAAAATATTTTTTGCTTGGAAACTCTGAATGGTAATGGAAGCTCAGAGTCTTTCTGGGGCCCAGAAACAAAGAAGCAATCAAAACTAAAAATTATTTTAAATGTTTTTTATATTTTTGTAATACCTACAATATTACAACTATTTTAATAACAAAGCATTTTGAATTGTTGTCATACTACTTTGCATTTATGCAATGATTCTCCTCTTGATATCTCAAGGAATTCCAACACAG